TGTGTGTGTGTGTGTGTGTGTGTGTGTGTGTGTGTGTGTGTGTGTGTGTGTGTGTGTGTGTGTGTGTGTGTGTGTGTGTGTGTGTGTGTGTGTGTGTGTGTGTGTGTGTGTGTGTGTGAGAGTAACGAACCAGATCAGCAAAAAACAGAAGTTACAAAATCAATGGCTGGATTGTTCCTAGAAAACATAAACAAATTCGAGTGCATTATAAACAGTTGTGTCAAGTCGTAGCTAGTCACATCAATCCATGCGTTAGATAGAGGCAATGAAATACTTCAATGTTGGAAAGGTATTTAATGAGCTTGTGTCACACTACTTTTTTTAATTGATATTAAGCTTTCCACTTCCAATTCAAAGCGAACAATATCCCAGGGGGCGACCACAATTGATAAGGACTTCCTCGACTCCTTAACACTCAATAAACTTTGGGGTAACTATTCTAGGTCAGTCAAAAGTCCAAAGAGATGAAGCCCAAATTAATTCCAACTCATTCCAAATGACGCAAGAAATAAAAGTCATACCATTAAAAATACAATGTGCATTTTTTGATCTTCACTTTTCACTACACTCATCTTGAATCTTAAACTAACTTAAGCGTTGGAGTGATAACCTTACATATTCATTCTTGTACCTCCATATCAGAGATCAGCGTCATTGATTCAGAATTCCTCATCACCAATTTACATATAATTTTGATTGCAGAACTAAACAGAACAAATGTATTATTCAACTTGAATATTTAAAAAAAAAAATATTTGCAATTTTAGATTAAAATAATAAAAGAAGTATTATTTGAATTTTATAAAATCAATACAGTATTTGACGTCGTATAAAATAGACAATGTGCTAATTTATTTTTCAACATATATAAAATAAAATAATAGTAAGAAAATTAGACCCATAAATATACACATCACATATCAAAAATTGTGTGTGCAAAACATTATTAAAATAGTAGACAATTACACATATTTAATATATTTACAAAAAGTTCATATATTAAAATTTATTATTATATTAAAAATATATTAAATTTTATCAAAATTAAAATATTATAAAAAATGAAATATGATAAAACAAGTTTTCTCTATTTTAACTTTCAAAATGCATTTTGCAAATAAATTACGAAACAAGTTTTATCATATACTATTTTATTTTTTCCTTCAAAATAGTTTTTTAATATTTATTTATAAAATAAATTTAAAAAATAGAAAAAAAATGATCTTACTACGTGGTTACCAAATGAATAGAGTAAGTATATTATATGTTTATGTGTTAAAAATCAAATTTGGTAAATAAAAAAAGTAGTTATGTTTTTTATGAGTTTGAGCAAGTGTGTCATAGTTATATTTTGACTAGAGTTTATTTCACACCACTTTGATTGTCTTTTTGTCTTTAGTTCTACTCTTCCTTTTGTTTCCTTGTCTATGTTGTTGTAACATGTTGTATTGTTGTTGTTGTTGGTGGTGTCATTCTCTCTCTCTCTCTCTCTCTCCACTCTATCTAACACACAATACAAGTTTCATTTCATTTGCTTCTTCAACGCTCCACAACACGCAAGCAACAAAATATATAAAACTAGTGACTTAATGATTCTCACGTCCCACACTTTTCTTCAATCCAACTCTTACTATTTCTCATTTCTTAAAACTAAATCATCATTCTCAACACTTTCTTAATTCAGAAAATTCAAATCTAAACATTCTTTTCTTTTTTTAGTTTATATTACAAGTAAAAGCCTTTTTCTTTGCCAGCCATGACCCAAGTTCTCCACTCTCCACCTCATTTTGCTTCACCACAAAGAACAACAACAACAACAACTTCAACCTCTTCCTCTCCTCTTTCTTCATTCTCTTGCCATGCCATTTTTCAACCTCCCTCACACCCACATTTTCCACTTTTTGAACTTCTAGTTACTCTTTTCAGAAAATCATTATTTCCTTTCAAGAATACTCTCACCAAGGACCTCTCCGTTATGGATATAAGCCCTCCCACTAACGTGCGCCATGTCGCGCACGTTACTTTCGATAGGTTCAACGGTTTCTTAGGCTTGCCTGATGAGTTTGAACCTGATTTCCCCAGAAGACCTCCTAGTGCTAGGTATATTTAAGACTAGTTTTGCGGTTGTGTACCTTTTTATTGATCTAATCTGTGTTTTTTGTTGTTTGATTTTCATATGTAGTGCAACTGTTTTTGGAGTTTCGACGGAATCAATGCAGTTATCTTATGATTCAAGAGGGAATAGTGTGCCAACAATTCTTCTGTTAATGCAAAGGCATCTGTATGTTCAAGGAGGATTGCAGGTTAATCACTTATATATGATAAGCGCTTATTCAGTTTACAAATGACTAGTTTTATCGTATTGCTCGGTTTTAAAGCTGAGTTTGTGTATGCAGGTGGAAGGGATTTTCAGAATTAATGCAGACAATAGTCGAGAGGAACATGTTAGGGATCAATTGAACTTGGGATTGGTTCCTGAAGACGTTGATGTACATTGTTTGGCCGGACTAATTAAGGTAGGAAATTTCTAGATGATTGGATTTGGGTCAAGTTCCTATTTTCATGTTGTTGATGTGTTTGTGAATTGTGACATGATAACGATGAAAAGTTCGATATTTTTGTGCTTTTCAAGGCTTGGTTTCGGGAACTCCCTACCGGAGTTCTAGATCCGTTATCACAAGAACAGGTAATGCAATGCCAAACTGAGGAAGAGTGTGTTGAACTAGTCAAGCATCTACCTCATACTGAATCGGCACTTTTGGATTGGGCCGTCAATCTAATGGTTGATGTTGTCCAACATGAAAATTTTAATAAGATGAACGCGCGCAACATTGCCATGGTTTTCGCACCAAACATGACTCAGGTCTGTTCCAATTCGTTAATGTTTTCTCTCTATTACCTTTAGGTTCAAGTTAGTGACAGTATTTGGCTTTTGTGATTGTAGATGGCAGATCCATTCACTGCATTGATGTATGCAGTTCAAGTGATGAACTTTTTAAAGACACTTATATTGAGGACATTACGCGAAAGAAAGGATTCAGTGGTGGAATCGAATCCTAGATTAAATTTAGAACCTTCTGATGAGAACGAACAGCGTGGATTTTTTGAGTCGTGTCAGAAAGAAGATACTGCAGAAGTAGACAATGAAGCGGTGAAGGAAATTTTTGTCTCAGAAAAATCTGTCTTAGAATGTTCACCTGAATCGTCTTCGCTCGAAAAGAACTCCTCGGCTGGAGGAGAATCTGGCAGAATGATAAGCACTTCTGAGAATCCGGTTTGCAATGAGGATTTGTATTGTGAGTTTCCGCCAAAAAGAAACATGGGAAAGAACAACAAGTCTGGTCAATCAGGTAGTTCAAATGCTAGAAAAGGGTCTAAAAAGACAAGAGGACAGCAACCTGTGAACAACGGAAAAGTATCGGTCGAGAAAAAGGGAACGAAGACTTTGAGCAATACAGATACAAGATCTGACCGAGTCGAAGCTTGGCGGTGAAAGAAGAATTGAGTTGTAAATTGATTATTTCACATTATGCCATTGTAAGTTTGTTTTAATAAGTCTAAGGTTGCAAAAGTATTTAAGAAAGTTTGTGAAGTGATTCATTCCAGTGTGATTTCTATATTTCCTGTGTTTGTTTAACTTATCTAGTTTTCGTTTTATCAAAACAACACTATTATGATCACACTAACATTGTAATGAAATCTCATTCCCTCTTTCACAATTATTCCTTAATCATAAATTCATCTGTCAAATGAGTTGGCATGTTCTTACATAGGTTATATATGGTATTACGACGCGCCACGTGTATTAGTTTGAGTGGAACCTTTTTTTTGGGGCCATGATAGTGAAATTAGAACTTTAAAAACATAAATGAAATCAACAATATTGTATGATTGATTTTGGAGGCATCAAGGACCACAACTATGGAAATTTAGAGTCACAGGAAATGCTTAAAGCTATACTCTCTTATCAAAACACATCAATGGATCATTTTTATGAATATTGCTATATTAGGATAAGGCAGAAAGAGAGAGGATGAGTAAGCAATAACCAACCATTTTCCTAGAATGGACCGGAAATACATCGATTGGATCGCAAACATTCCTCCTGCTTTTTCCAGCCATGATGATAAAATCATAAAGGTCATTAGAGAGAAAGGTGTGGCTATATCTATAGAATTAGAATTGTCTACAATCAACAATTCAACGCAATCAGATCACCGGTGACCAACCTATACCGAGTTTGCAATCTAAACCGTTTGATCTCAATTCAATGGCTAACAATACGGTAACTGCGTGAATGTGTAGACTTGTTGACCGCGTGCAATCCAAATTCTTTTCTACACGACTACACGTGTACAAAATAGTCTTTGCCATGAAGCATCAGTGTACACTGGACAGCACCATGACAGGATCAAATCATTGCTTAAAATTTGCATATCACATTCCAAGAAAGTTGTGGTCCTGTCCCTTATGTCCTTTCTCAAAGGGAACTTGTAATTGGTTGGCCATCTGTACAAGGATGGTCATGATTATTGCACCTTTCCTTTTATGTATTTAGGTAGAAGTTTTTAAGATTGAAAGATATTTTGTCTGGTGCAATTAGTTATTACACACAGGATCAAATCTCAACTATAGACCTATTTTGAGACTGTTTTTGGATCAATTTTCCGAAGTTGGAATATGAACCGATTGATTAAAATCAAATAGCAAAGACCGCGTGACTGCGTGAATGAGATTCTCCCAATGGCTGAGAATAAGTACTAGTTACTGCGGATTGTTACGGATATGGTCCTCAAATCCTGGTCATTTATAAGCCACATGAAAAGAAAAAACAAAGATACTACAAAAAATCAGATCCTCTTGCAACATATATAATAGCATATTCCTCTTGGTTATTTTTCAAATCATCTATTTGTGTTCCTTCTTACCCTTTTCTTCTCTCACTCATCTTTGAAAAACCTATTTATCAGCAGAATACTAATTCACTAGCAAGCGAAGTCATGGCAACCTGTGAGAGCCTGCAACACATCTTTGATAACCTATTGCCGGAAAATCCAACACTGCTTGAATCCCTTTCATGGAACAAAATTAAACCAGTAAAATCCTTAGAGTCCCCTTCCTCCACCTGTACTGAGATATTTGGTGAACTTCATTTCAAGGAATCATCGCCACCCTTATCAACAACCGAGATAAAAAACACAAAGGTCAACCAGGACAAAGACTCTGAATCTTCTGATATTAATCAAACTCCATCTTCAGCTTCTTTTTCAATTACTCAAATAGCTAGTCCTGTCAACGGCAAGGACAAAAGCAGTGGCAGCTTTACATGGTTGAGTTCTGAAAGCATGCATCTTTGCACGGAGGGTCTTGGTTTCGAGAGCTCGGATGATGTTGAGGACTCAAAGAGTGGAATAAATGAATATCGTCAAATTGATCAAAACGAGAAACATGTCGAACATCGTTTATCTTCAAGAGATCATTCTTATGGAAAATGTAGGAGGTCAAGGGTTAGTGAATACCCTCCTCCCATTTCAAGCATAGGGAGAACAGGGAAGCCTGGGGTTTATTTCAGGTCTTATAGGGAGAATGGAAGATTTGTCCTCGAAGAGGTAAGGATACCGAAACAAGAGTTCCTTCGTGCTTATAGGGAGGATGGAAGGCTCAAGATGCAGTTTGTTCATCCTCCGGAGGACGAGTTTATGGAAGAGGAAGGAGAAGAAGAGGATGATACAGGAAGCATAGATGAAGAAAGAGAAGATATTGGAAAAGAAGTTGATGGTTGTGTAACACATCATTCAAATGAAGAAAAAGAGATTGCTTGATGGTCAAGTTACTAGTTGCTCAATTAACAAAAGGCAGAAAAATTAAGTAATCAAGACATTTTCCTCTCAATGAATGTACAAAAATAAATCTTAATATCTCATACACACTATATTATATAAGTCTGCTTTAGTTTTACTCTTCTCTACTTGCAGATTATATCTGTCTTCCAATATTTATCCCGCAAACAAGTATTGTTGAAGACACATAAACCATATGTAATATTAATATTTTATTTTGAAAGTGTAGTTACATTGGAACATTTTTCTTTTCTCAAATTATTATCGGTATTTATGTGTCTGATGTCAAGACTTTATTACAATGTGAAACTATGATTCTATTACATTTCATTTTGAAGAACATGCCATTGTCAAAAGTAATTCTTTTATGGAAGTTCACGGGAGACCTATGACAAGGGACAGCGAGACAGGAAAGAAAACATGAATACCCTTTTATCAGTCCTACACAAACAGTTCTAACTTCTACCAATCAAGCTGTAACAACAAACTATGAATTACAATTTTAAACTGAGTTACTTGCGATATCTTCATCATGAAAATTAGATATATTAGTAATAGTTTTGTACATAAATCTTAAATATCAAAACACAGCCATGCAAACGAAGCACCAAAATACATCAAAAAAATAGTTTGCTCATTGATCTTTAATGCGCATATTTATTAAATTACATGGAATTCACTGATGTTTGTGTTCAAAAGTTGCTGATAAATGCTCTGGAAGTTTGAAAGGCTTAAACCATCCCAGGCATAATTATACAACATTGACAAAGTAAAATGTTTATCTATCGGCGAACAGGATTATTTCCGTCTAATGTTAAAAGCACCTTATATAGATCTGGACGCCGATCACGGAATACCCCCCAACAATGCCTCGTGGATTTGATTTTGTCCAAATCAAATTCAGCAATAAGAACTGCTTCCTCTTTATCATCGGCAATTGAAACAATTTCTCCAGTAGGCCCTGTTTGTTGAAAGAAAACGCAAAAAACGAAAGGAAAAAAAGGTTGATGTGAATGAATGTGGAAAAAAGTGTATAATCTATTAAAATGAGCTTTTATCATTCTGAAAAGGAAACATATCAGTCAAATTACCTGCTATGAAGGAGTTTCCATAAAACTTTATCTCACTTTTTCCATGCTCGGTCTCAATTATCTCATTACCTATCCTGTTTGAAGCCACGAGAGGTACCTGAATTTCCCAGAATTAAAATTCATAAGATAAAGGACTAACTTGACATGAAAAAAGGACTAATTTGACACTAAAGATGAATAAATGACCTATTTGAAACTTTAAATTAAGTTAAAAGACCTACGGTGCAATTTTTCTTATAAATCTAGGTCGGTGGAGTAGCTAGTATTCAAAACCTACCAAATTGGCCCCAGCATGTCCTTGCATTACTCGTTTCCAATGGTCACGAGAATCAATGCTTTGATCGTGAGGTTCAGATCCAATAGCAGTTGGATAAAACAAAATCTCAGCACCTTGAAGCGCCATTGCCCGGGCTGCCTCTGGAAACCACTGATCCCAGCAAATAGCTGACACAAAAATTAAACAATAAGGATTGGCGTCCTAACTAACATAAAGACAGAAAATGAAACTGCTAAACTGTGTTTTCATGCTATAGCCTAAAGTCAAAACAGGGAAAATGTATTTTAGAGTCATGAATGTTTGTCTTAATAATATATTCACTCAAAACAAGATGGTCTATTGGATTAACTTTTTGAACTTATCGACTGAACATAAATACTTGTGATGAAACATTGTCCAGAAGAGCTTATAGAAACAGCTCATGACATGTGCATAAGTTGATTTTATCTTTTTTTCATAAGTTCTCTAGCATATATTATGAAAACAGCTTCAATGGAAAATGGATAACTTTATTTTATCCGTTGTTATAGAAATAACTTATATACATAAGCACTTATATTATAAATGTTTAAATATAAGTTGTTTATCCACAGTCATAGGCCCGAAAAATAGAATCCCAACAAAAGTTCTTACCGACTCCAATTTTTGCATATTTTGTCTGGAAAACCTGTTAGGAAAAAAAGCCTCAATGTTATACAAAGTTTACCGATCATCATAAAAAATAACGAAAAACAAACGTCATCAAATTAGTTCCCAACCCTTACCTTAAATCCAGTGTCACCCGGATTAAAATAGAACTTTTCTTCATAACCTATAGGGAAGATAATACAATCAGTTACAATGAACACATGGTAAACAACACATAAATAACCAAAATATTGCAATACCTGGTCCATCTGGAATATGAGATTTTCTATAAATTCCAAGATCTGTACCATCAGCATCAATAATGGCTATTGAGTTATAATGTGCATTATTTGCCTCCTCGAAGAAGCTAACTGGTATGACTACACCTAACTCTTTTGCAAGTTTCTGCATCCTACATTATACACATTGAAATAAAGAACATTCACTACAAACTAAAGCACAGAAACCACTTTTTCGCTTTTTTTTTACCTTATAATTGTAGGATGGTCCTTATAGGGTTTAGCTCTTTGAAAGAAATCCTCTCTTTGTGCCTGACAGAAGTAATAGCCTTCAAAGAGTTCCTGAAATGAGTCATGCAAAGACATGGAAATTAGTTGAAAAAACAGTGCTAGGAGCATCCAGGGTTTTAATATACACACCTGAATGAGAATAATGTTTGCGCCGAGTTTACGAGCATCTCGAACAAGTCTGTGTAAAAGATCCATAAGCAAGACAAAACATTTGACTGAACTATATGGGTAAAGCTGATGTAATGAGATAAGAAGAGAAACCTTTCGGCGGTGGCGACATTGTTTGAGACATCATCGGTGCAGGCAAACTGAAGAGCGGAAACAACAACTTTTCTACCCTTGTCTTCCATGTTTTTGGTGTGGAGAGAGAAATTAGATTATACTAATATTCTGTATATATTATCTCTTCCACCAAGGCATGACAGTGATGGCCGACAATATTGGAGGAATTTATAATGGGTATTAGCGTACAAAAACATCTCGCTCGGAACTACCGTTCTTTATCGAGGTTACTTAAAGCTTTTGGTTTTGGGGGGATGAATTACTGAATTAGGATATGATAGATTCTAAATTGTATAAATTTTTGGTATGCTAGTGGTTTGAGGGCAGAATGGTAAATTGAAAAGGAAAAATTAAAAATCTACTATCAACTACCTATCTCTTATTATTCATTGTTAGCAATCTACCATTTATACTCTTTCATTAAATTTTCATTTACACTACATAAAGCCCTTTTATGTAATTTACTAAATAATAATTCATCACCCAATCAGAAGAACCCATTTTGCCAAGTGACAGAAGTTTTTTGAAAAATTCTTACCATTTTCCTCTCACTTGCACCTTCTCTCTTTCTCTCACATTCTCTCTCTTTCTCGTATCCTCTTTCTCGTCTCTCAGAACTCTCTTTATTCTTTCCCCTCTCTCATTTTCGTCTCTTTCCTTGTCTTCACAACCTTCCCCATCTCTCTCTCTCTTCGTCCATCAAACCCTAGCGCTCTGCCGCCGAAACTCTGGTAAATAAGTCAAAACGATCTCGTAAATGCAGAAACTCATGGCTCTGCAAAACTTCGCCTTTGATTCTATGGTATCATAGAAACTCATATTTCATTTCAATCTCTCATTTTCTTTCACTAATTTTCATTTTATTTATACTTTATGGCGGCTACGGGTTTGTTAACAACTATTTTTATTTTCTTTTTGGTCTCAGTTTTGATTTTAGGATCTATTCAGGTTTTAGAAATGACTAAGTCGTCGTATCTTTCTCCTAAGGGCGGTTTCAGTTTCGATATCTGCAGAAGAAATGATATGCTTGAAAAGAAAGGTCTCAAACTCCCTACTTACTTGAAGACTGGAACCTCTATTGTTGGTTTTGTTTTCCAGGTCTGAATAATAATGGTTTTAACTTCTAATTTTTGTTAATGACTTTAGGACTTTGATTACTGTTGTGTTGGGCACTATTTATGTTGTAGGTTGCCGATCTACTGGTTTTTGTGGCCTCAACAAGGTCTTCATGTGAAGAAACTGTTTCTCACTACATTGACATGTTTGGAAATCAATGCATTTCTATATTTAAGTCTCTCGATTTATGAAAAAAGGTGTGTCAGGATGCTTACACTTGTGATTATGTTTGATTTATTTATTTTTTCAGTGTCGAAGTGTCGGTGTTGTGTTTCTGGTGGTTCGTGCTTAAATTCCATGCTTTTCATTTGCATTGATGTTTTTGTGAGTTGGGTTTGTTCCATCATGAGAATATGATTATAATTATTTAATTTGTTGTTTGTTTCAAATGTGCCATAAACATGGTGTGATGCATAGAGATCTCAAGCCGGAGATTTTTTGTTTGCAAATAAGAAGGAAACCGCAGCTTTGAAAGCTATAGATTTTGGTTTGTCGGTGTTTTTTAAACCAGGTAAGGATTCTGGTTGGTGATTAAGTCTGCAATGTTGCTTGGTTGGTGTCATGGGTTTGCAATTGGCTTAAAGTTTTCCATTTTATGCAGGTGAAAGATTTAATGAGATAGTTGGAAGTCCATATTACATGGCTCCAGAGATATTGAAGAGAAATTATGTCCCGGTGTTGCACCCCAAAATTTGCTCAACCTTTTCTTGCCTAATTTATGTTTCATTGCATTTCATTTGCATAGTTACATCATTCACATAGTTCTAATCATTTGCATATCATAGCATATCACTCATCCAACAAGGGATCAAGGGTGTCTATCAAGAAAAGAGCCTAGCAAGAGGTCTTATCCAAGTATGAGAAGTTATCCAGGCCATCAAGAAGTGATTTGAAGTCTTGAGAAGTTTGAGTGCCTACATGTGGGTTTTGCTCTTATCTTGAGGAATATTGAGAATCATCAGTGGGATTTGAAACAGGGAATGTGAATTTGAGGTGTGTATGGATCTCATGGAATGCCTAGAGGGCCCTATTGAAGCTGAGACAAGTCATTGATTCAAG